ACACCAAGGGTAGATGGACATCAGGTAGTTGTTTTTATAGTAAATATGTGACATATATAACTACCATAGTTACAGATGTGATAGCTTAATGGTAGAGCTGATATTTTACAGGAGATGGACATCAGGTAGTTGTTTTTATAGTAAATATGTGACATATATAACTACCATAGTTACAGATGTGATAGCTTAATGGTAGAGCTGATATTTTACAGGAGATGGACATCAGGTAGTTGTTTTTATAGTAAATATGTGACATATATATAACTACCATAGATACAGATGTGATAGCTTAATGGTAGAGCTGATATTTTACAGGAGATGGACATCAGGTAGTTGTTTTTATAGTAAATATGTGACATATATATAACTACCATAGATACAGATGTGATAGCTTAATGGTAAAAAAGACAAGATGACAGCAAGTTTCTAAAATATACATCAGTTTCCAAGTTTCTTGGACAATGAAGAAAAAAACTGAAACTGTTTGATAGCATCCAAAACATGATCTTTTAGGCTCATATTTACATTAGGAAAGTAAACAAATGTTTTTGTGCCAATAGTAATATCTCTCAACATTAGAGCTTCACTAGTTTAAAACTGGTTCAGTAACTTTCTCTAGTATATCATCCTGCATCTATTATGTGTAACATTTGATTTCAAACTTTTGTATGAAGCTTCTCATACTCCTTCCTGAGTAACCATATACAAAACAGTTTCTACTTATACTTTACATGACTGAATGGTATAAGACATTGAACTAGCGAGAGAAAGTTCTGACGTAGTACTGGAGTTGGTTTGTTAAGATCTATTTGTTGTTCTCATCAGCATCTAAACGATTTGAAGAACTACTGAACATTTTTAACACCTTGTCTATCATGTGGAAACTGAAGGATATTCTAAAACCACCATCATTATGTTACTTGGAAAGTGTTGCACAAGTAATGCATAGTTCAATATTGTTTCTCAAGAACATAATAGATTGAATGTTTCACACTGGGAGCTAATAGTAACTACGTACATAGTAGCACTGAATCAAGCTGGATTTAACTTTAGAAAAAACTGTCATTAGGCAACCCTAGAATTATAAACAAACAGATACAGTTCTTTCATGTTAATATTCTAATTTCTCCTTAGGATCATACTGCTCCCGTTTTCTTTGAAACAGCCTTTAATTCTTTGTAATTAAAATGTAATATAAATAATACTGAAGGACTGACAGTTTTCCAAGGTGACATTTTAAATCTTTTGTTTCTAATCAGGAACTTCACATGTGAGTAAATGTAAACAACAGAGTCTCATCTAGCAGTCTGTACTTGTAGTCTTTACAAAGCATATATCAGCTGACTTACATGACTT